AGCAATAATACTGTCTATAAAAAGCTCCAGGAAATTATTTAGCTTAACATAAGGGCAGCAGGATATAGGCAATTACCCCGGTCATAAAGCTTTGGCCTGTAACAGCTGAAGTCTCGCTTTTGTCGGGACACGCTGCATGGGGGTTTGTACAAGAGGGTAGGGGGGGTGGGAACAGAGATCTGAGGAATGTATTTGGAGGAATGAAAGGCCAACGCAGGCCTGCAGGTGATAAGATCGCGACACCCACATTGGCAGATAAAACGCTGAGCTGTCAAATCAATCACCCAGATAGGAAGAAGGGACGAGGAAAAGGAGAAATCACAGTGGGTCACCCGACTGAAAACAGACAAAAGCCCAATGCTGCAGGAATCTCAAATAAAAAGTGAAAAAAGTCATAGTTTTAACCATTTTGTATCATTAATGCAAATAAACTGGCACAAGCACAACCGCCCCCCTTCTGTCTAGATATTCAAACTACTACAAACTTCACAATATAACATCATGGATAGAGCCTTTTAAAGCAAACATTTTGGGAATCTCTCCAGTAAAATACTTTACAACCATCAAACTCCAATTAGAATTATTAGACTTAGAAACATATACAATTCAGACTTTGAAACTTATATAAAATAAAATGTTGCTGGTACATACCGTCAAGAACAGATTTAAAAGAACCAAAATGAGTCTGATAGACTGTTTATTGTCAAAACATTGCGTAAAAAAATTAACATCAAACCTCATGAATACTGAAAATTACAACTTTTCTGATAAATATTTGGTCACGCGTTCGGTTTCCGGCTTCTTTGGTTTCATTCTGAATCACAGGCTCATCTTCAAAATGTGCTGTCATAGTTTACAGGCTATAAATGGCTTCGATGTGGCAATATTGAGGAAAAGACAACACAAAGAAGCATCTTGGTGCCATCCGTATCAGGCTGCAGACAGTACACACCAAGGCCGGCATATTTTCCCACAAGAGCTATCGGTGTGAATTGTTCAAATTTGACCAGCGCACTGACTGGATAGGCAAGCTAGTCTCAGAAAACAACGCAATCTCTGTGAGCACTTACACATACTGAGTTTCAAGTGACGTGACAGCTAATAATTACAACAAATAACCACCAAATTGACCTTATAACATTGAGAGTAAACACAATATCTATATAATAATGTTTTATCTAGGTGATTTAAAAATATTACTTCACAAATTACTATGGGCGATATGGTATTGAAATTCAAATACCATATTGCCCAGGCCTATTTTGTACCAGAAAGTACCAGATAAGTGTGAATGTGGATTAACAGACACTGTTTTAGAGGCTGAAATCATTCATTTTAAACCCAGCAGATCAAAAGAGCTGCCTTTAGCTTTTCTTCATTTGTATGAATCATTTGAGGTGGGGGAATCATAGCAACAATATCTGGCCCACCTCGCCATCTTAGCTTCATGCAGAGAATAAACACTAGCTTCTCTGCAGTGCAAAAAACATGCAGAAAAAAACTGCAATGGATCCCACAATTTCACAACTTTCTTTATCAGACTTTAATCTGCCTCAGTTAGTAACACAATTTGAACTGCAATGTTACAGAGGAGAATAACCATTAATAACAGTCTCCTGGGTGTGCAATAGGGCAGCATGGTTTAATGTTATTGTAATCGAGATCCCAATTTTTGTGGTCACAACTGGTAAATCGCACAGACAGCAATTATTTATAATATTTGCAAAAGGAATGGACTAAGAAAACCCAAATAATCCTTTGAATTTGGAAAAATCTATCTGAATTTGAGTTTATTTTGACGACTTGTCAATGAATGAAACAAGTATCTTTCATCTTTCAGTATTTTCTCATTTCAAATTCCAATTTTTTTATCATTTATATAAAGAGTCAAAAAGAGTCAAAAACAACTCAGGTCTGACTATGAGAAGATGCAATACTTGAGTAATAAGTACTATTCTTTAGGCTTTTTTTCTTTGTGAATCAGTAATTTCTACTTGGAAAAACATTGTACTATATTTTGCTGAACAAAAATATTCTTCCTAAACACAAAGGATATCAAAAATTGCAATGCAAATGTAATGTAGAAAATCAAGCTTTGGAGTGGTGCTAGTACTGTATGTGAACTTATACAATACAATGACAATGAATATAATGATTTCAACAATTCACAAATATGAAAAGCTGGTAAGATAAAAATAGGTGCTATTATGATGACATGAGGATGGAAGATAATAACTGGACTAGTCCAAATAACTTTTATCTATGGAGAAATCCTGAATTCAAATCATTTAAAAATACTACATTCTGTGTTTGGTTTTTGGTATCAGTACTTGCTCAAATGTCACTCAGTATGCTAAGCTACATGCAATGTTACATGTTGGTCTGCAAAAACCACAGATGTATTAATTATCTGGATAGGTATTGCTAGCTTAAGGCGGTCTTCAGCATGGTGGTGGACCACCCGCGCAACTGCAGTCTCAGCTGCCTGTGGAGTTTCTCCCATAGACCTGAACTACAGCTCATCCTCAGCTGACAAGGAACCTACAGCTTTCTCAAAATCAGATTTTTTGGGGATTCTCGTGTCTTTTTGTCATCATGAACTTCTGAATATTGTAAATCCACCAGTTTTCCATAGATCAAGACTTTAGTGCAACAAACTAAACTCCCTCTCGTCCCACCCTAGCTCAGCGTGCTGTCCACAGTGCATCATCAAGTCAACGCTGATTGGTCAGAACGCTTACGTGTTTTGCTGGTCTTACGGAAGTAGAAGACTGGGCACCTACTGCACAAGACGGGGAGGCTGAGAGGTGGCCAAAAATGCATCACTTAGCTAATATTTCGGCCTTTGTGGTGCAAGCATACACCAGTGAATGGGCTCGAGTTGCAGAAGCTCTGCAAAAACCTTGCTTTATTTATGATATCGCAAATATAGTAAATAATGTAGAGCAGCATGATACTGCCAAAATATGTAATTGTGTTTAAAGTGTATCATTCTGTGGGGACTTAAGCAAACCCACTCCAGGAACATCATACAGACAACATTTTCTTCTGAGATCAGTGTTGTAATTAAAGATTGCTTTTGATAATCGATTAGTTGAGCTTATCAGAATCAGAATCCTTTTATTGGCATGTGAGTAACAGGAAGTCACAAACTATTCTTTTAATGTCTCAATTAGTTGCTTAAATCCATGGAATGAGGGATTTTGTATACATTTTACAAAGACACTTGAGCACATCTTCAGAGAGACTAGATGTGACACAATTGTTTGTGTCATTAGAAATACTTTCTTAACCCAATTCTGTAGTGATCAAAGATCTCCCTGAGCATGTTTTGATCCAGGTGTAGCTTAAAAACAGATTAATTAAATACTAAATTAGATCAATAATCATTTCATTGCGATTAATCGAATACCTTGTTACAGCCCCCATACATATCAAAGTTGTTTACAGTATGTCTAAGAACATTTTATTTGCTGCAATACTATATAAGATAGTTCTCTATGAAACACGTATGATTGCATAAGAAATTGTTGTATGTAATCCCTTGCACCCCTAAAATATTGTAACACAAAACCATCCAGAGCCTATTAAGCTGATATTGGCATTGCACGTGAAGCCTCTTATATAAAAGATCACTATAGTTCAAGGACAGAGCCTCCACGCATCAAATGAATGCTAAATAGCTTGATCAATGCATGGGGGAGAGGACAAACATCGAACAGGGACCACAATGTAAATGGCAGAGCACAGCGTCTGACTTCCTCTATGGCGAAATACATAACGCGAGGGAGAAGAAGGCTTATCACAGTGCAGATGCTATTTCGATGTTTTATTTTTTGGCAGTAACACGGTGTGACACAAAGACAGGAAATGCGGCACAATGCGATGTGTGTGCGTGCGTGTGTGTGAATGAGAAGACTGGCAGGTAGTTTATGAATGGAGCAGAACACGTGACCGTCCCCCGAGCACATATTTCTCACTGGCTGTCAACAAGCGCATACACACAGCGCTAGAAGCAGCCCGGGTTTAAAAATACACCCAAAATATTACGCTAGATATAACGCAAATAAAAACATCTGTAAATTGAAAGTATTTTTTTTTTCTACGCAAACGTGGTGTAAGCTCCCTCGACCGCGTCTTCGTAAGAATGAAAAACATACAAGAGGCGACGGCTGTTTTATGAATGGGGGATTGAGATATGTAAATGAGTGCGATTGAGAAAAAAATGCAACAATGTGTCTGTGGATTGGGGTTTGATACACATATCGGCGCGAATAATGGGGACGCGAGGAGTTAGAAGAAGGAGAGAGCGTTTTGTGGAGAAATCATGGCGGACGAGCAGCTAGCATATAAAAAAAAAAAACGACGTCGTCTGCTCGTGATGTGTTCGCACAATGTGGAGAAATTATATATGGCAGCGTACTTTTGTGTTCCAGATAAATAGCCCTGATGGATATACAATAGCAGATCTCATGGAAATATCCCTCATATGATGAAAGTCACGCCGTGTTCTTTTGCAAAATAAGCCACATACCAGCCACATACATACATACATATTTTTAAGGAATGAATAGGCTTAAGTAATGTGAATACATCAGTGACACATATATAAACATGGTGAGAAAAATCATGCCTGTTCAAAATATTTTGGAAATCTTGAAATACACACAGCAACGCAACTGTTATAGGATAGGATTTGTATACATGGGTTATCATCTATTCTCACATAGAGTGCCCAGTTTGTTTACAGTACATGCAAATTCCCACAAAGTCCAGTGTTATAAACGTAAGCAAAAACTGTTATTAATGAAAGAACAGCGTGTCTACCATTTTAACCAGATATAGGCTATATAAACAACCGAGTCTGAGTCATACTGCGAATAAACGTGAATACATGCACGAATGCCAGCGTGGGTTAGGTTGCAGACAATGTTGGCATAGAAAGCTCACATTAATTTTAATACAATGCAAATATATATATAAAAAAAAAAATAACTTACTCGTTGTTTGGATTTGTTGACTCTTCGCTCATTTTTTTCCTCACGGGGATTCAAATCCTAGCAATAGCATCAACGCAGTGACAGCGGGACAAAACACCACAGATATCACCATTTTCTCTTCGGCAATATTTTGTTTAGTTTTTACCTAGGGTTTTTTTTCTGGTGGTGCATGAGAATGGGGCATGTCTGTTGTCTGGCCCCCCCCCAGCGCAAGCCCCCACGAGAGGGGAGTCAACTAGCTTCAATGTTAGCCTTTTAAAAACGCGTTCAAATGAAACAAAAATCTGTTATAAATTAAATTGCGAAGAGAAGAAACGGCAGAATCATCTTATCCTGGCTGGAAGTCATATCCCAGCTTCGTATGCGACACAGCAGCATGGTCCCAGTCTGGTCGAGTCGCAGCGCATTCCTCGTTCGCGTTTTTTCCCCCAGTTTTATTATAATTCCGTAAATGCCGCGAAAAATGCTACTGCAGACAGCCGAGTTGGGGTGCTAGCTTCGCGGCTTGAGTGCGTGGCTCGCCTGGGTGATGGTGGTGGTGATGGCTACACGTACGAAAGACACCATCCAACTTCTGGGATAAAGAGTTGAGAAATGGCTCTCGCGCACGGTCACGCCGAAGTACAGGCATCCAGTGGGGGGTTGAAGATGGACTCTGGCTTGATGTAAGTCCTGGAAAATAAATAATACTCAAGATATTTCCAATAGAAGCGTCCGGATGTGTGCTTTTATTATTCCATTTTCAACTGCTGCCCGGGGAATGGAACACATCGGAAAACTGGGCGGATGTGTCGAGTCGGAGTTGACAAAACGAAATCCCTCCGCGACATCGTTAAAACGCTTGTATTTTCAACTCTAAACTTCATCCCTGAACATGCTAAACGCGAATAATATTACAAGTATGTATTGTAGTTGTGTGTTTTTGCTTCGGATTCGCGTGCAAAGCAGATTAAGACATGTATTTGCCACCCCAAGTTGACGTAAAGTAGTCCCCGCACTTCCCAAAAGCAGTTTCCTTCAATCACGCATTGATACGAGAGGGAAGCGTCTCCGTGTGATAGCATGCAAAGAGACGAGAAAGAGTCCAGTCACACTCGACGCAAGATTTGGCCATTAACAATTTCTGGTTCTCTTCTGTAGAAAGTGTTATAGTGGCGTTTGAATGCCTTTTTTACACGTAGGCTGTGTGAGAAGGGGAGGGATGTGCACACAAGCGCTGCTGCTGCTTCAAAGCCAGCAACACGTGGAATTACATCACGTTTAGTTGTGTGTGGATGTATGAATAATTCCCTCTTATCTAATGATGGAGGCCTTTAGTATGCGTATTGTAAGGTATGTGCATGTCAAATGGTTGCCAACAGCTTTTAATACATTAATGTGTGCGTTATAGTGTTGTATTAGTCTGGTAGCAGTTTTTAAAGGTCCCACTCTCCAATGCAGTGGGTATGGCAAATTTTATTATTTTTAATATCTTGCTATAGTGTGTTATGTTTGTGAGTCCTAAAACCTATACCTCATCGTTTTTTTTTATCAGAACGTTGCAGGAATGCCTCTTGGCCCTATTGTTAATTTGTTTTATTTGTTCATAATTCAATGGTGGATTTAATGTTCAGTTCAACAAGTAACACCAATAAGCTTTACAAGCCAGTTCTATATACACCATTTATATAGTGTTAATTCAGTGATTAGACAAGCCGGGCGATCAAGTTGGCCTCCTTAAAGACTCTCATACCCATCCAACCATTACCATAATTTTATATTTGTATGGTCTTGTGGATAAAAACCACATTCAGGGGTCACTGTTAACTACTGGCCTGTTAAATATGACAAGGATTATCCGTATAAGACTTTAAGTTGGATTTAGATGTATTGGTTTCTAAAGGCTAGATCCTTCATAATTTAAATATATTGTTATTGAACTGTCCAAATATTTCAATATTTCAGTTTTTCATGTTCACATTTAAGCTATTGACATGAATGCAAAAACACTGTCATACTTGTAGCCTTGTTTGTCCTGTGTGAACTAAGCTTTATGAAATGCTACAATGCAGAATTCAAGCAAACGTTTAAATTTCTAAGCTTATTGATCTTCCATTTGTCCAGCTTCTGACCGTCGCCACTGCATCTCTTTTCCACAATGAACAAAGTGCAAGAGTTGCTCAAAAAATCTCATATGCTCGTCCAATCATCATTTTGAATGTGCTAAAAAGCCTTGCAAAACATATTGGCGCACGGTCGGTTGCATAAGACTTTAAACACTATTGGATTTGTGTGCAGAATGGCGAGAGATGGGGCTAAATGATTCTGCCTGGTTGTCATAGTGACTGCATGTTGTGTGAGAAGTTTCTTTGTGTTTCTCTGGCTTTCATGCAGCTTGTGCCAGTGCCTTCTGCGACTATGGTGGAGGACTCAGACAGGCTTTCTGTGCCACGGCGAGAAGGTAGTCCAGAGTGTGCAGGAATGAATGAAACAATGCACGGATCAGGGTCTATGCGAAAACATGTCTGATTTGTCAATGACGACATTGGGCTCAAGGAGAAATAGTATCTAAGCTATGCCAAAGGCTGTTATAGGAATTTACAATGGATTGGTTCAGAGCTGTATTCAAATCATGGAGTTATTTCATCCCCTTAGCATTATTGGCTTCTAGCAGGGCCGGCATTACACAATAAGTGGACCCAGCAGATGCGTAGGCCCCCCAGGGTTATCAGAAGGCCCCCAAGAATGAAACATTCTACATTGAGTCAACTGGATAGTGAAACTCAAAGTTAAAAATATGTGGTTCTTTTTTATGAAAATTATGGTTTAGATCCCTATCCTGACTCTCGCCAGACCCTTGTAGATTGCTGCACTTCTCACATGGGTCTGGGTCTGAGCCATAGACCCAGACCCGGGCTTGATTTCTTCTTTGATCATCACAAAAAAAAATCGGGTGTAGCATCTTTAATTCGTTCATATTTAAACTTTTTTTTTCATGGACTTTATGTCCTCTATATTGGATTGCTTTCGCTGCTGCGTGAGACACGCTTGAGAAGGCGGTGCAAACCCGACGTAACATCGGCAATCCTGATTGGTCAATTATTTTCTGATCTGCTGAAGGAGTTTGGTTTGCGCTTGATCCCAGACCCTTGAGCGTGAAGCAAAATGCTTTTGGTGGCTAATAGATCCCAGCACCCATGTACATTTTCCTATTGTTATTAGTTATAAAAACTAATTTTCCATTTGTTTTCCACAACAATCCCTTTGTTTCATGAACTGCATCATTCAATCAATCAGAAACATCACAATAAAAAATAAAGTATGGCACACATCGTCCAACCCTGACAGAAAAGTAACTGGGGTGCGTTATCTATTGATGTAGAACTTTTGCACATATACCAGAACAAGAGCAAATTCAATCCCAAAGTTTGGCTCTTTTCCTTGTTCTTATTATGTGTGAATTCACCCAAAACAAGAAAACAAACTAAAAAAGACTGAAAAATGTTTCTGTATTGCGCCTACAAGCATGAGTTAAGTGGCCCACTGAAACACACTTTGCTCAGGGCCCCCAGAAGTCTAGGACCGGCACTGGTTTACAGGTTTAAAGTTGTAACCATTTGAAAGGCACGATGAAATATGAAAATGTATTTGAAACGCCTGCTCATGAAAACCTTCAAGAGGAACCAAATCCAACAAAAAGAATAAACAAAGATAATGAATAAAGAATTACACTTTCATTCCTAACAATGTAATTATAAATACAACATTCATAAGGTATTCAATTTCACTGTAACATTTCCATGCACAGAAGAGGAAATACAGGGGTTTCCAATTAGTTTGATCACAAAAAACCAAATATCCTCTTTCTATTGTTAAAGAAAAGGTCAAAGTATGGTGGCATGTATTGTAGTGTTTGGATAAATGCCAAGTTTTTTCCTGGGGCAGATAAAATGTCTCTTATTTAAACACCTTCACAATCATATTTTGGCTTCTAACTGTTTAACAAGAGACTCTATTTAATGAATGAAATAAATAGCCATTCAGGTTTTGTACATATCCATTCACATTATCGGTTATTTTTCAGCTACATTCCACCATCTGGCATATAGTAACTGCCCATAAATCATTGGGTAATGCAGTCCTGTCTTCCTTTTTAACACATTTGCAACCTATGTGATTAGTATTGTACATGATTTGGGAAAAAAAAAGCTGTATAAAGTGGGTGTGCTAAATTCATGCCCTCTTGTGACATCTGCTGGCAGGTTGGCAGGCTGCAATCGTCTTCTATATGGGAGCCCACAGACAGCAGAGGCTGATTTGTGCATTACCATGAGAGAATTCAAAAACATATAAACATCCCATTGTCGAAAGCAAATGTTGTGTGAAAAGCTCGGTCTTCGCTGAGGCTGGTTCACTCGAGGAATGTGTGGACAACATGAGCCATTTGGGGCGTTATTTTTAGACAACTGAAAATCACATCGTCTGACTCATCCGCTGACGTTACAATTTGTCCAAGAACTATCGAAACGCATTACAGCCTTAGATCAGAAAGACCAGGCTGCACACATCAGTATGTTAGCTAATTTATGATGCATGCTTTGACACGTATCGATTACTGTTGGTAAAAAGGGTAAATGTCTACATAATTTGCACTAAGTTATAGGGTTCGAAAGATTAAGAATGTGAAATAAAATACAGTAAAATTACATGACAAATGAAGGTTATTTGATGATCGTGATTATTCATTCACAATAACATCACACAAGCTGAGGGATTTATTGTCACTCTTTTTAATGTACTGTGATTATTTATAATTTTAGTGCCTTGTGTGACTGTCTCTATCTGGCTTTGTTCAGCACTTTGAGTTGCCTTGTGTATGAATTTTTCTATCTATTCTATATTTTTGGGCGTGGATAGTACTCTCGCTTCTCAGCAAGAAGGTCTTGGGTTCGAATCCCGGTCGGAACAGGGCCTTTCTGAATGGAGTTTGCATGTTCTCCCCGTGTCTGCGTAGGTTTCCTCCGGGTGTTCCGGTTTCCCCTACCACTAAAAA